CTGGAGCCCTCTTGGTCCGTCTCGGTGCCGTCTTGGGCTTGAAAGGTCATGCGACAAGCCGCGGGGGAGCCCAGAGGGCACGCGACAAGCCCGGTAGATTTGAGAACTTGGGGTCGGGGCCTTCAAGAAACTCCCCATAACTGAGGACTCAGGCTCCGAGGATGCGGCCAAGGACCTGAGGGCACGCCCACTCAGTGCCCAGAGGCACGGTGGCGGATTTCAATGGCTTCGGTGGGCCAGCGCACGTTGCAGGCCCAAGCGAATTGGCGATGTATTTTTTTTTCCCCCTCGAGCTCCTTCGGATGGCTATAACGTCGTCTGTATATATATATATATATATATATATATATATTTCTTCAGTCATGTCGCTGTCCGCCTCCACTGCGCATGAGAATGCACAGACGTTTTTCGCATGAGGCGCACCAGCATTGGCGAGGAGTTTTTTTGATGGGTTTTGCAGTGGAAGCAAGAATGTATACCCTGGTCTTGCGATCGGCGCATCTGTTTCAGAAGATTCAGGACGACGCCTCGCAATATTTCGCAGTGCCTGTGGTGGGTCCTTTCCGCGAGGGCCACAAAGAACCAGCGAGGAATCCAAATTGGCGTCCGACATATACACGCCTGTCGTTGAAAGTAGGTATTTCTGGATTCCCAAATCCTAATCTACTTCAGGCACCTTCCTATTTCAAGAGTCGAGCGGTTTTCCTTCCTTCCTCCTCTTCAGGGGGCGGGTGGAAGCCCAATCTACTTCAACGCCTCTCTACTTCATGTTTCAACCCACTTCTTCCGACCGGCGTGTATGTGGAGCTTGTCTGGGACTGCGGTATTATGTACGGTCGAGGATTTGGGCCAGCATGGGCTGTGCTTAAAGAGGTCCCAAGCAGCAGCTATGCTCCGCAGCAAGCATTTGTTCTCAGGGATTTCAGGAGCCAGAGTTCTGGATGACATGCGACAGTCCAGACTTGGTTTGAAGCAGGATATGCGCGAAGTCCGCAGACGTGAGCACGCGGATGCAACCGTAGAAGAATATTCGGAAAGGTTGTCTCTCGTGTACCCCACTGATCACGCGCTGTCTGCGTACGTTGCTGGATTCTATAATGCGGACGGGTCTTTCATGTGCACACGCCGTCAGGACCGTTTCTATCATCGACTTGCCATCACTCAGAAAAGCGCGCAAGTCCTCGAAGCGTTCAAACATGCCGGGTTGGGCGGCATAGGAGGGCTTGTTTGCACCGATCTTCGTGGAGTCAGCACGTTGTGGATCAACTCGCGACGGGATATCCACAAGTTTTGCGAAAGGATCCGTCCTCTTCTTGTCAACAAGTCCAGGCAGGTTGACACCATTCTAACGATGCCAGCGTGCAAGGTAGCCCAACTGACGCTCCGATCCAGGGCAACCAGGCACGGCCGCGGAAGCAGAAACGAGAGGTCGTCAATGCAGAGCGCTCTCTACCCCATAAAAGGTATGTTTTTCCAAGGCGCCGACGCAGACGCATGTGCACCGCCGCCAGCGGCCAAGAAGATCGCCGTCTCTATCTGGAGGCGCGGCCGATCCATGGGAAGGGAAGGAACAGGAAGCCCTGAGACCCGACGTTGCCAAAAGAAATGCAACATCGTTAAAAACCACGCCCAGAGCCCTAGACCCCATCTTCGTGCATCATTCCTCGAGCCGGATCGATCTGTGAGGGCCCCCGGGCCCGCAATGGAGCGAAACTGCCCGTTGTGAAAAAACTCCGACGTCAGGATCTCAGGGTAGGAATAGGACAGGGCAGCACGCCCCTCAGGGGGCCCCCGACATGGCCTGCGGCGCCCCGGCGCCGCGCCCGGCGCTGCCCCGCGGGGCGCCGCCGCCGCCGCCGCGGCCGCACCCTGCGGCGCTGGCGGCGGCGGCGGCGGCGCCCGCGCCGCGGCGCCGCGGGCGCCGCCCGCGCGCGCGGCGGCGGCGCGGAGCCTCCTCGGGAGCGCCGCGGCGCCGCCGCCGGGGCCGCGCGCAGCGGCGGCGGCGCCGGCGGCGGCGGCGCGCGGCCTCCGCGGGTGCGCCGCGGCCGCGGCGCCGCCGGGGCCGCGCGCGGCGGCGGCGTGCGCCGTCGCGGCGCCCGAGTCGGAGCAGGCCGATGCGGCCCTCCGCCCCTCTCGTCTCAAAGGCAGCGCTACATAGAGGGGATACATGGGGCTCAGGGTGGGGGTGCATCGACCCCCAGTCGCCCATCCATCGCCGACAGGGTCCTGATGGCCCACCCCGCCCAGGACCGTGCGGCTTCGCCATCGAGGGCCCATCGCCGATCTGTCGGCGATGTATCGCCGATTCCAGGTCATTGCTTAAATACCCCCTTAGCTGGTCCCCCCTGAAATCTGACGTTGCAGAAAAATTGCAACATCGCAGAAAATCAAGCCGATTGCTCCAGACCCCATCTTGCTGCGTCATTTTTCGAGCCAGATCGATCTGTGAGGGTCCCGGGGCCCGACGGGTCTTGCGCGAGGTGGCATGGCGCGGCCTTGCGCCGCGGCTTGCGCGGGCCGCCCGCGCGGCGCGCTGCACCTGCAGCGACGGCGCTTTCGCCCGGCCCCATACGTGGGCAGCTTGCGCGCCAAGGTCGGTGAAGACGACCCGTCGCTCGCCCGCTTCCTTCGAACAGAGATCAGGGCCCTCCCCCCCCCGGACACACCGAGCCCAGCAGTCGCTCGCTTCCTATACTCCCAGCTCCCAGCGCCCCAGACCCCCGACCCCGTTATCCTTTCATGACGTCGACCCCCAGAGGTCTGGACCCCTTCCCCGGGACCGGTTTTTCATCCTGAGTCGTTCTTTGACGCTCCCGAGGCCCAGCAAGGGCCTCTGGAGGCCGAGAATGGCGAAAAACTGCCCGTCCTGATTTTTCGCAACGCGAGGAGGTCTGGGTAACGCCTCCCCGCGCGAGATAGGAAGCCTAACAGTTGGCAGCGGCTCCTGGTGGGGTGGGCTCCCCCTCCGCCCCCACAGCCCGACGGGCGGACTCACCGCTGGCGCCAAACTGGGGCGAGGGCCCCCCGAGGCCGTAGATCACAAAAAACCTCCCGTCGTGATGTTTCCGCAGCGCGAAAAACCTCCGCAACTCGGGAGCTCCTCCTCCTCCTGCTCCTCCTCCTCCTCCTCCTCCTCCTCCTCCTCCTCCGCAGCAGCGCGAGGGGGTCCGGGGTCTGGGGAGGTGCCGGCCCTCGGCGGCCGCTTGCGCCGCCCACACGCACGGCGGGAGGCCGCCCTCCGCGGCCCCCGCGGGGCGGCACTGGGGCTGAAGTCGGGCGTGTCCCTCTACAGGAGGAGTATGCAAAGATAGCGAAAAAATAGTCTGGGGACGATGTTTGAACTATATTTGAATATTTGTAGGGCATTTTGGGGGTATTCTTCATATTTTGCGCCCAAAATCCCCCTGTAGGGGGACACGCCCGACTTAATAGAAGGCGGCAGGCCGAGCGCGAGAGGAAAGGAGGCCATGACGCCGGCCCGGCGCACGCACACGCATAGAGTTTGAAGTCGGGCCTGTCCCTCTACAGGAGGAATGTTCAAACACAGTAAGAAAATAGTCTGGGGGCGGTGTTTGACCATGTTTGGTTATGTTTGGATGTTTGCGTGAGTGCTTTCTGTTTTGCGCCCAAAAAACCCGCCTGTAGGGGGACATGCCCGACCTAAACATAGCTACACCAACAGCCGCACAGGGTCGTGGCGGATCTGCGCAGCGCGATGGGCCCTGGGCGTCGCGGGGCGATACCCGCAGGCCCACTCGAGTCATGACAGAGAGGGAGGATGAGGAGGCGGAGGGAGGAGGAGTGGGAACGTGTGAGGGGTGCGCCGAAATGGGCATGCGGAGGGCAGAGGCAGGGAGTGGAAGCGGGAGGAGGAGGAGGAGGAGGAGGAGGAGGAGGAGGAGGAGGAGGAGGAGGAGGAGGAGGAGGAGGAGGGAGGAGGAGTGGGAACGCGGGGCGCTGTCTCTTCAAAACGAGGGCCCAACACCAAGGGATGGCTGTGAGAAAGACGCGGCGGGAGGCTTTTCGCTATCTTCGGCCTCCGGGGGGGGGGGGGGCGGGCGCTTGTGCCCCGGGCCGCGGGGCCGTCCAGAAGCGGCTCAGGGCGAGGAGCCGGTCCCGGGGAGGTGGTCGAGAGCTCTGGAATCACGCAGTGGCGAAGCGTCCTGGCTCGCCTACAGCCCTGCCAGACAATGTCCTAAGAACCTTTCTCGGTTTCCACGAAATGTTCTTAGAACATTTCTGGCGGGGTCTGTCTCGTTTCCACACATCGGGCTTTATGTTCTAAGAACATGGTTTTTGTTCTTGGAACATTTCTGGGTTCTAGAACATTTCGTGGTAGGACTATAGGACTGCCGGGACGGTCGGTCCCTGCTCAATGGAAGTCGACGTCATGAAAAGATCACGGCGTCGGGTGTCTGGGATCGGGGCGGCCGCGAGGGCTGCAGAAAAGGGGCCCTTCAGGGCCCAAGGGAGGCTTCTAGGGTTCGATGCCGTGCTCTTCTCCTTCGCCCCATGCATCGCACCCCAGCGAGCAACGCCCAAGGGCCCCATTGACCAGTGTCGCGATCCGTCGCAGGGTCGCACGCCGCCACTGTTCGGCCACGGGCGCGCCCATTCCCAGCGGGCTGCTGGCGGGTCTTGCGAACCTGCCGCTGTCGGTAGCCGCTTGGGCTCAAGGAGAAAGTCGGCGGCGAGCGACGGGGAAAGTGAGAAGGCCTTCTCGGAAGGTGGCCTGGCTTCTGAGAAGGCCTCTGGCCTCAGACACAAGTAATCGTCGACTCCCAGGGAAATATAGGAAAATATGGAAAGTGGGGGGTAAGACGAAAATCCAGAAAATTTTGGAAACTCTGGGGAATCCTGGGATTTGTGTGAATCTATTTGTGTGTCCTTGGGCCCCTTGAGTCTTCGAGGAAGGCTTAGAGAACTTCTCGGAAGGCCAGGGGGCTTCCGAGCCTTCAGGCCCGCCCCTTCTCGCTTCCCCCCTGGGTTCGCCGCCGAGAAGGGTCAGCCCGGGGGGTCATGGCCCATGGAGCTATGGACGGCCAGGGGAAGGGTGCCGGGAAGCGTGGTGCGAGGCAGAGGAAGCCAGCAGAGGGCGTCGATATCAACACCATGCTCGACGACGGGGCGGAGCCACCACCAGAGTGGGGCGACACGACCACCGTGATGATGCGGAACTTGCCCAACAAGTATACCCAGCGCATGCTGCTCACCGAGGTCAACGAAGTCGGCTTCATCGGAACATTTGACTTCCTGTACTTGCCAATCGACCCCGAGACTAATGCCAACCGGGGGTATTGTTTTGTCAACTTCGTCTCACCTTCCGCCTCCTGGATGTTCAAAAAGGCGTTCGAGGGCCGGGCAATGTCCTTCTTCAACTCCAAGAAGGTCGTGTCGGTGGCTCCCGCGACCCTGCAGGGCTTCGAGGCAAACTACGCCCACTACTCCTCCGCACGGGTCAACCGCGGCGACCCAGCCACCCGGCCGCTGTTTCTGCGAGAGCCGGACCAGCTGGAGATTGGCGGCACCCCAACATACTAATGTGTGTGCGTCGCCCCGCCCGGGGCGACGCGCGCACCGAGAAATCTTCTAGTGCATGCGCACTGTGGCGGGCTCTTTCTGCCCACGCCGCTCGGGAAACGATGTACTACCAGATGGGTTATACTAGATGTTCGGGTCGCGCGCGCCTTCGAGGAGGGCACCTACCCAAACATGCGACGTTCTGTTTTTTTCAATACGGGGTCCCTGGAAGTCCCGACCCTTTCCCCGGGGACCGGCTTTTCATCCTGAGCTGTTTTTTGACGCTCCCGAGGCCCGGCGAGGGCTCCCGGGGGCCGAAGACGGCCAAAAACATGCCGTCCTGATTTTTCACGACGCGATCATGCCTGGATCGTATTAGTATTATAGTATGTCTCTGTGCGTCCCAGGAGATGAGCGCGCAGATGTACCGTGGCGACGCTCGGGGCAGCAGGTGATGGGCCAATGTTCCACCACCACCACCAGCAGCACCATATGTAGGACGGGGGAGAAGGGAGGATGGGGAGGTCCTCCTCCTCCTCCTCCTCCTCCTCCTCCTCCTCCTCCTCCTCCTCCTCCCTCTCCTACCTGTGGTTGCGGTGGCGGAAAATCGGCCCATCAGCAGGCTGGGCAGCCGGCCGTCTGCCGGCAGCGGCCCCCGCGGGGCCGCCCGGCAGCACCGCGCCGGCGGCCCTCGGCCTTCCATGGACGCCCTCGGCCTGTCCGAGGACGCGTACGGCGTCGCCGGTGCCGAGGGCGCGCAGCCCCACTTCGGGATGGGCGGCGCCATGTTTCAGGCTCCCCAGACATGCTCGCGGCGTAAAGACAGAAGTCGTGAGAGTGGCGGTTTTCCTTTCTCTTCGGCCTCGGGGGGCCCTTATACCGGGCCTCTCGGGAGCGTCAAGAAACGAGTCAGGATGCAGAACCGGGCCCAGGGAAAGGGTCGGTACTTTCAGCCCAGACCCCCGACGTCATGAGTTTTCCACAGCGTCGACCCCCAGAGGTCTGCACCCCTTCCCCGGGACCAGTTTTTCGTCCTCTGAGTCCTTTTTCGATGGCCTCGAGGCCCGGTACGGCCCCCCGGAGGCCGAGAATAGCGCAAAACTTCCCGTCGTGTTTTTCTCACAACCATCCTTTGGTGTTGGGTCCTCGTTTTGAAGAGACAGCGCCCCGCGTTCCTCCTCCTCCTCCTCCTCCTCCTCCTCCTCCTTCTCCTCCTCCTCCCCATCCTCCCGCCTCCACTCCCTGCCTCTGCCCTCCGCATGCCCATTTCGGCGCACCCCTCACACGTTTCGTGGCCCCATAGGGTGCTCCACCCAAGGCCCCAGTGGCAGGGTCCGCATGCAGTTCCACACCCGTTTCGGCGCACCCCTCACATGTTCCGTGGCCCCACAGGGTGCGAAGGCCCCAGTGGAAGGGTCCGCATGCGGTTCCACCTTCATTTCGGCGCACCCCGCACACGTTTCGTGGCCTCATCGGGTGCTCCACCGAAGACCGCAGTGGGAGGGTCCGCATGCAGTTCCACCCTGTATGTCGGCGCACCCCTCACACGTTTCGTGGCCCCACAGGGTGCTCCACCGAAGGCCCCAGTGGCAGGGTCCGCATGCAGTTCCGCCTCAATGTCGGCGCACACCTCACACGCTTCGTGGCCCCATCGAGAGCTTCACCGAAGGCCCCAGTGGCAGGGTCCGCATGCAGTTCCACCTCCAGTTCGGCGCATTTTTCACACGCTTCGTGGCTCCATAGGGTGTTCCACCCAGGGCCCCAGACTAGTGGCAGGGTCCGCATGCAGTTCCACACCCGTTTCGGCGCACCTCTCACACGTTTCGTGGCCACAGTCTGCTCCACCGAAGGCCCCAGTGGCAGGGTCAGCTTGCAGTTCCACCCCCATTTCGGCACACCCCTCACACGTTCGGTGGCTCCATAGGGAGCTCAACCCAAGGCCGCAGTGGCAGGGTCCGCATGCAGTTCCACCCCCAATCCGGCGCACCCCTCACACATTTCGTGGCCCCATAGGGAGCTCCGCCAAAGGCCCCAGTGGCAGCACCCGCACGCGGTTCCTCCTTGCATTTCGGCACACCCCTCAGACGTTTCGTGGCCTCACATGGGGCTACCCCCCTACCCCTCCACCGACGGCTCTGGTGGCAGCGTCCGCATGGCGTACCCGTGCCAATTTTGGCACACCCGTCGCACGCGTCATGGCCCCAGAGAGAGGTTCACCGAGGACGATACCCACAACTGCGCTACTCTCAACTGCGCATGGCTGGGTCCATCGCCAGGATAATTTTTGTTCACAGCGCGAGGGGGCTGGGACTTCCAGCCCAGGCCCCCGACGTTGTCATGTTTCCACAACGTCGACCCCCAGCGACCCCTTCAAGCTTCCCCGGGACCGGTTGTTCGTCCTCTGAGTCGTTTTTTGACGGCCCCGAGGCCCGGTAAGGCCCCCCGCAGGCCGGAAATGGCGCAAAACCTCCCGTCGTGCTTTTTTTTTGTTCCACAGCGCGAGGGGGTCTGGGAGGAACCCCGCATGGAAGCGAGCAGGACGCCGCATGTCTGGGGGCCCTCAGGTCCCCTACCCGGGCGGAGGCGCGGCGCCCACGGCCGCCGACGTGGGCGCGGGGGCCGCCCCGCAGCACAGGTTCTGCCCGCAGTGCGGGGGCGCCATCCAGGCGATCTTCCAGTTCTGCCCGCAGTGCGGGGCGTCCCTGGACGCCCTGCGCTGAGGTGGAGCGCGGGGAGGAGGACCGAGGAGGAAGAAACGCCATGCACATCTGAACTTGTGGCGCTCCGCGCGGATTTCTCGGGCCCGCGCTGGGCCCCCTCGGCGGCGCCTCCGGCGCCGCCCTTTGCGCGGTCAGCGCGCCAGGGAGGGGGGGGTCCAGCGCGGATCCAAGAAATCTGCGCGGAGCGCCACAGGTCTATGTTTATGGCGTTTTCCTTTTGGTTCTTCCAGAAGAGGGCGGCGGCACGATGCCCCCCCCCTCCCAGTGCTGCCGGGGCCGGACACTGCAGCGCCGCATCTGTGAGCGGTGCAGCTTGGTACGATTTTCGCATACTAGTCTGCCGTGTGGAGGCGTCCCAGCGCTCGGGGGGGAGGTGTTCTCTTCTGAGGTCGTTTGATGTACTGCCTTGCCCAATTTTCGTAATTTTCTGCTAGCAGCGAGTCGCCAGAGGCTGTCCTGGCTTGCGCTCTCAGGCCATGGCGTAAACGTGCGCTCCCCCTTCTGTGGGAAAGAAGCGACTCGAAATCTGCACAGTGGGTTCAGATTTTGCGGCGCATCGCCAGGCATGACTTCCTGATTTTTCCCAACCATCCTGTGGCGTTGGGTCTTCGTTTTGAAGAGACAGCGCCCCGCGTTCCCACTCCGCCTCCTCCTCCTCCCCCATGCTCCCTCCGCCCCTCCCTGCCTCTGCTCTCTCGCATGCCCATGTCGGCGCACCCCTCACACGCTTCGCGGCCCCATAGGGTGCTCCACCGCAGGCCCCAGTGGCAGGGTCCGCATGCAGTTCCACCTCCATTTCGTCGCACCCCTCACACGTTTCGTGGCCCCATAGGATGCTCCGCCGAAGGCCCAGTGGCAGGGTCCGCATGCAGTTCCACCTCCATTTCGGCGCACCCCTCATTCGTTTTGTGGCCCCATAGGGTGCTCCGCCGAAGGCCCCAGTGGCAGGGTCCGCATGTAGTTCCACCTCCATTTCGGCGCACACCGCACACGTTTCGTGGCCCCATAGGGTGCTCCGCCCAAGGCCCCAGTGGCAGGGTCCGCTTGCAGTTCCACCTTAATGTCGGCGCACCTCTCACACGTTTCGTGGCCCCATCGAGAGATCCACCGAAGGCCCCAGTGGCAGCGCCTGCACGCGGCTCCATCCTGTATGTCGGCGCACCCCTCACACGTTTCGTGGCCCCATAGGATGCTCCGCCGAAGGCCCCAGTGGCAGGGTCCGCATGTAGTTCCACCTCCATTTCGGCGCACCCCTCATACGTTTCGTGGCCCCATCAGGTGCTCCGCCGAAGGCCCCAGTGGCAGGGTCCTCGTGCAGTTCTACCTCCATTTCGGCGCACACCGCACACGTTTCGTGGCCCCATGGGGTGCTCCACCGAAGGCCCCAGTGGCAGGGTCCGCTTGCAGTTCCGCCTCAATGTCGGCGCACACCTCACACGTTTCATGGCCCCACAGGGTGCTCCACCGAAGGCCCCAGCGGCAGGGTCCGCATGCAGTTCCACCTCCATTTCGGCGCACCCCTCACACGTGTCGTGGCCCCATAGGAGGCTCCGCCGAAGGCCCCAGTGGCAGGGTCCGCATGTAGTTCCACCTTCATTTCGGCGCACCCCTCATACGTTTCGTGGCCCCATCAGGTGCTCCGCCGAAGGCCCCAGTGGCAGGGTCCGCGTGCAGTTCTACCTCCATTTCGGCGCACCTCTCACTCGTTTCGTGGCCCCATAGGGTGCTCCACCGAAGGCCCCAGCGGCAGGGTCCGCATGCAGTTCCACCTCCATTTTGGCGCACCCCTCACACGTTTCGTGGCCCCATGGGGAGCTCCGCCAAAGGCCCCAGAGGCAGCGCCTGCACGCGGCTCCACCCTGTATGTCGGCACACTTCTCACATGGGCTCCACCGACGGCTGTGGTGGCACCGTCCGCATGGCGTACCCGTGCCAATTTTGGCACACCCGTCTCACGCGTCGTCGCCCCAGAGAGAGAGGTTCACCGAGGACGATACCCACAACTGCGCTACTCTCAACTGCACATGGTTGGGTCCTTCGCCTGGGTAGTTTCAATACGGGGTCCCTGGAAATCCCGACCCCCTCCCCAGGACCAGTTTTTTATCCTGAGTCTTATGTTGACGGTCCCGAGGCCTGGCGAGGGCCCCCGAGGTCGAAAATATCGAAAGACCTCGCGTTCTGATTTCTGTTACGACGGGATCATGTCTGGGTTGGGTTCAGCGCACACAGGGCTCAGCCAGAGCGCCAGATATCCTGCAGGAGTCTGCAAAAAGTCGGGTTTGGGCTGAGCCGGGAGGGGGAGCCGCTCGCGGTTCTCTGGAGGAAGCTTGACAGGCTTGTTGGCTGGGCGGGGCCTTGGATGCCTTCAAACAAACTACCATCCAGGGTGTATATGCCCAGACATGATCGCGTCGTGGAAAAAAAAAAAAAAAAAAAAACAGGACGGCAGGGTTTTTGGCCGTCTTCGGCCGCGGGAGGCCTTCGCCGGGCCTCGGGACCGTCAACGTTCGACTCAGGACAAGGAACCGGTCCTGGGGAGGGGGTCGGGACTTCCAGGGAACCCGTCTTGAAAAAACAAGGACGTCGCATGTCTGGGAGACAAGCTGCAGTCCAGATTCTTCAGGCTTACGCACTTTAAGGGTAGGTCTTTGGGAGATGTTGCAGTATCGGGAGCATAGCTCGCGCGCGCCGTTGCCTGTGGCCCAAGGCACGCGCGCCCTATTTGCCCGGACACCGCGAGTGTTCGCCATGTGCTGGAAAGATCACTACATCGATCTTATCCTATCTTATCCGTCCACCCCTCATACTGTACTATCACAGCAGAGCGATGGACGCTATTTGCCATCCGATGTCTATCATGGAATCGGATGCTATTTGAGTTACCAGGCTCACTTTCGACTTGGTAGCGGAGCTGGCCGCACTCTCGTGTGGTCAGCTCTTGCTCTTCTTAGCCTCATATTCTTCGGCACGATCTTCGTGACCACCTACCACCCTGCGCCACCACTCCCAGTACGTTTACGAGGATCTGTTCAAGAGCAAGAAGCAACACGAGAGGTACGACGTCTAGACGACCAGATTGGTACCATATACGGTTCATCATTGCGTTACCACCAACCGCTCGGCAACGAGCTAACAGCGCAACACTTGAAGCAGAGGCGGGGAGACCCGCCAGATAGAGCGCCTCGAAGACTCGACAAGGCGCTACCCCAGCGCGGCAACGCGCATAATAACCGTCCTTCTCTACACATTCTCGGGCTAGTCGTTTTCGCTATTATATGGTTCGCGCTGGGGGCAGCAACCGGACACATGCGTCGTGGAGAAAACAGCACCGATGGGCAAACACATGGCCCATATTGGGACCCTCAAGGTAATGTACCTTTTCGCGAGTACATTTACGAGGTCAACGCATGGCTCAACGTTACTAGCGGACGTATGACGCCACAGGCCCAAGCGGCCGCAATACAACGCGGCCTAGGTGGCCTAGCGAGGACACTCGCCATGAGGGCACCGCCTGACATTATAAACTATGGTGCTGACATCGATGGGGTCCACACCGACCCAGTGACCTACATCATGTTCCTCCTAAGCATGAAGTTCGAACGCCTGGAAGATGAGCGACAGCTCACTTCCGGCACACAACTCATCGACTTCCACGTGCCTCACGGGGAACGAATCGATGTCACCCTTACCCGATTCGAAATGGCCCGACTTGAGGCACAGTCGGTGGGATTCGACCTTCCCAACTTCCAACTGCTAACCACTATCCTATTCCGCGCCTTAGGCGTCGGCAACCAGCGAGCCATGCAACTCTTACAGCCACTCAATCACCAAATGCCCCGAACACAACAACAGTATGATGAGTTGCTGGAGAGGATGCGTTCGATAGGCCACCTATCTGAACGGTCTCCTGGTAACATAGGATCTGTGTTTGGAAGGGGAAGGGGATCTGGTAGTGGAAATTTCTACACTACCTTGACTACTGAAGCCCAGCCTGGAAACGGGCCCTCAAGCATATGGGCCGATGACCCAGGAGAATCCACTGCTTTATTAGCAGGGGATCGATCACAACCAAGCTGGGCAACCAGCCCTCCTTCTAGAGAACCACAACCACACCGTTCTTTATGGGGGGAATCAAACCCCCTAACCGACGGTGTATCCACCTACTTGGGAGACGAGGATTTCGACTCCGGCACCGATACAGACACTATATCATCAGATGGTGTTGAAGCTTTAGATTGGTCAGATATCATGAATATGGATAACGACAATCAGCGTGCTGAACATTTGTTCTGGTTACTACAACAGGCTAAAAGAAGGTGGAGGAGGTTCACACGAAAACCAGTGCGTCGTGTTAGAAGGAGGATACGGAGAAGTTTTAAGGGAAAAGGTAAAGGTAAGCGAGGTCGTCGGAGGTTGAACGGACGAGGCGTCGCGGCATTTCTCCAGAGGCTCTCAGATGAACAACATGATGAGATATTCTTTGGGGGAAAGGGCCGTGGCAAAGGCCGTAGAGAGACCTCAGGAAAAGGCAAAGGTAGGCGGGGAAACCCGCGAGGTAGAGACGGCCAGGTTCTTAAATACCATGAGTGTGGTAGTACCGATCATCTTGTGCGAGATTGTCCAGTGAAGGGATATGGAAAGGGCAGGTCGACCGAAGTCCATTTTGGCTCAAGTGAACCATTCATTGAGTATCTAAGCCTCCAGGACTTTGGGGCTATGGAGCAGATATTTTTCACATGGGTCAGCTGCATGGACAACGTCGACGAGCTCGAGGCGTATGGTCATGGATTGTACGCGTACTACCTCGAGTATGTTCGCAGGTTCGTTGAGGGCAACAACGAGCTCACTCCCGTGGAACACGGGACGCTGGGAAATTACCCTTTATCGTTCTTCGACTGGATGTTCGGGAACCCAGGCAACATCATGGCCTACGAGAGAAGCGACGAGGACACCACCATAGAGGCTTCGCCTTCCGAGGTTCAACGATACCTCGAACCTCCGCCCGAAATCCCGCCTGGAAACAGGCCTTCTTTGATGGGAGAATATCCCCAGACCACTGAAGACTTAATCGAAATGGAGTCTCAGGCATTTGTTCAGGCCTTCATTGCAGGCGAACCAGATACTCCGTTTATACCTCCTGGTTCGCTTGCTCCAGGCGAATATGGACCACGCACCCTTTTTGCAGACCCTCATGAGGATGCATGAGATACTTATTACTGGTTATCCTGAGAGTCAAGAACATATCGAAGCTGACATTATGATAATGCAGGATACT